TACCTAACTGTTTGGACACTGCGGCGGCACGGATGTTTGCCGATGACACAAACATAAGTGTCCACGGTGAAAGTATCAACGAAATCGAGCCAGCACTTAACGCTGAAATCAAAAACATTCATAAATGGCTGCTTACTAACAAACTAAGCCTCAATGTTGCCAAAACTGAATTTATGATTATTGGTTCACGCCAAAAATTTACCGCACATTGTGATCAAACAATCACAGTAAAAATTGACGAAAATGAGATCCAAAATGTCGATTGTTCAAAATCATTAGGCGTTACCATCGACAAAAATTTGAATTGGTCTGTGCATATTCAAAATGTCGTTAAGAAGGTTTCATCCTGTATAGGAGCCTTAAAACGTGTAAGACCTTTTATTTCGCGCGAAACAGCAATTCAAATTTACAAAGCGCTTATTCTCCCCCACTTTGACTATTGTAGTACAGTGTGGGGTGGACTAAGCAATGAGCTTAGCGATCGACTGCAAAAACTTCAAAACCGTGCGGCTAGAGTCATCACAAGAACTAATTATGATACACGATCTAGCCACTTACTTGAAAGTCTAAATTGGGACACGCTTGCTATTCGTCGAGACAAACAAAAGGCAACTCTTATGTTTAAGACAATAYGCAAGTGTGTCCCAACATACTTACAAAATCTTTTCGATSACAAARAGCTTAAGTATGATTTACGAAACCAACAACACGCACTATCACTTCCTAAGCCACGTACTGAATATCTTAAAAAATCCTTTAGTTACAGTGGCGCTTTATTGTGGAATAGCCTGTCACCTAGTGCAAAAGAGGCAAAAAATATTTCACAATTTAAAAAAAGGATTGAACATGTGTTGTAATGCTGACTCCACGGCCTACATGTAAAACAGTATCTAAAGCAAATATATTTTAATGTATATATATATGTATAATATTTTTATATAATTGTAAATTTTTAGAATATATTTTAGCTTAATTGACTGATGTAACTTTTTACCGTGGTATTAAAT